ATTAAATCCCATAACCGTTAACGTGTCTAAAGGTGTATAAGTATAAAGTTATTATAATGATTTCTGTTATAAAATTATTGCCGATAGTTTAAAAGTTGAAATTATAAGTAAAACACTCGAATAAAATAATAAATTAAATCAGTAAATCTCTGCCACGCCCGTAGAAATTCATTTCGACGTCGCTTCATCCCGTGTTATCTTCGGTAAAACTTTAATACCTCGCCAGAAATTTGGCATTACAACTACTTTAAACACTAGTATGTAAGATAATATTACTTTAGTACACTTTAACGATATCAAAAGTAAATATTAAACTCACCAAAACTTGATTATTGTCAAAATACGAGCGGAGAGAAGAGGGGAAAAGTGTAGCTGAATACCTCTCTGGGATGTTGCCAAGAATAGGAATGTTTCTATTTTCTGCACTCACGTGGGTGATGTCATTTCGGTATCCATTTTGTATTTAGGAATTGACCTACTACAGTGTCTCTATTAATACACTACGGGGATCGTTCATTTGATGAGATGACATAATGTACACTTTTAAATGATTTGTAGTCTCTTAATTAATTAAATTTATAACTGAAGATAATTAAAAATTGGTTGTGATATACTTTCCGGTTGACTTTTTTAAGTTCCTTGTATGGAAATTTTCTTTCTATTTTTTGCATGTTTCTGCGTCGATAATCTTATAGGTTAGCTTGTTATTAAAATCTTGTCATCGTTAATTGGCATATTTCTTTTGTTATTTGTTATTAAAGTGACATTCATTTATCTTTACTTTATCTTATTCTCTTTTTCCGCTTATCATGCTCCAATTCTTGAAAACAAAATGAAATTCAATTTTATTACTTCAAAACTCAATATTAGAAGAATTTTTTTTTTCTTTTTTTCGTACGAAGAAAAATGAAAGTTATTCCTTTTAAATTAACAAAATGTTTCTGTTATTTTCTCCATTCTTCCTTTCAGTAATAATAATAATTATTATTCTCATTAAAACTAATCAAAACGTAATTAAATTAACTTATATTTTTCTTGAATTTCCTTGTCTACGTAGCCATTAAGAGGGCCCTTTTTTTTACAGAGGAGGCTAGTATGGGTTTGGCAAGGTCACAATGGAGAGGCCGAGTGATGAAGGACGAGCCTTACATTCCTGAAAAATTCCCGGATTTGTTTCCAGAACGGTGGGATATACCACCTTAACTGCTCGCCCACTCTTTTTTTTGCCTTGTAAAGACTACGACGGCCTCTTTTTTTGGGGGTCTGTGGTGGGTTCGGCCAGTCCCACAATGGGAGCGGTCGGTGGTGTAGTGCGGAGCCGCAACATACTTGGATCAGATCATTCCTAAAAACACTCTGGGATTTTCGATCACCTGAATTCGAACACAGGATGGTAGATTTCCGCCTTAAACGGCTTCATTATTTAACCGTTTTTAAACGTTTAATTTATAAATAGGCCTAATTTAATTATATCAAATCTTAGAAATTCTCAAATAAAATGTATAAAATCATCAGAAAATCAAATAAAATTTCTATTTCCTCTAAACTTTTAACGATAATACTCTTTCACAGAAAACATTTACATCACATTACTCAACGTTTGTATACTACAACTATCCATTTATTACAGATTCCTTTTCTCATAAATTTCATTTTATTTCATAAATTTAGGATAAGAAATAAATTTCCTTTCAAGCATCGATACCGATTTTCCTAACAAACATCATCAGAATTTTAAATTAACGTTCTTCTTCTGTTTATACTTCACAATATTTACAGTATTAATTAAATACTGCACACGCACTTGTTATTTTCTTTTCCTTCAGGCAACTAAGAGGGCCTTTCTTAATCATACCCATTGTAAGTTCGGTCAGGCCCGCAATGAGATAGTTAGTAACAGGGCCCGATCGCCTATGGTAAATACCAGAGGAGTAGCTCGAACAGAATCGATCCGGGTTCCCCCAGAGCAATACTATTATAATATTTACTAAGCGGATTATAATTCATGAATTAAGTCTCTTTAGATACAACTTTAAAGAGGATAAATGTTGATTTTAAAATGTTTAAACTTCTTACTTTTTTAGTCTTTTATGGTTTATATAAATATTTATACAATGAGCAAGCGAGGTAAGATTTTATGTACAGTACAGTAATGTCACAGTTGAATTTATTTACCTATTAAAGAATGTTTTGATGTTCCATTTTTCTGTAATGAATACGTAAAAAGTAAACGTTATTTTAGTCTTATTTTTACCTGTTATTGTAATTTTTATAAATGACTAGCGGATATGTCCTGTACTGTCTGAAGGAATAGTATTAAGGACGAACACTAAATTGGTTTTTTTTTCCTTACTATTGTTATACATATCACGAAGTTTCAAGGGGATGAAGTTAAAAGAGAAGTGGGGCTTTCAGGATTTTTGGTAGCCTATGATTTCTTAAGGATTCTAGACAGCAATTGTGAGGAATTTGTGAAGAATGTTAAAGAATAGGGGGATAAAATTAGGGAATGTTCAGGTTTCATGGTAGCCAGGCCCGTCGAGAGGAAGGAGGAGCGAGCTGGTGATTTTTCCCTGGCCCAGAGAAAATTTAGGAACACGTAGCGGTTTCAACCCTAAAGAGTTAGAGTTATTTTACAAACAAAAAAATAAAATAAAATATTTAAGACTGCCTTTAAACANTACAGATAGCATTGTGAATGGATTTGTGCATTTATACTTATTTTTATGCATAAATTTATGCATTTATTTAAAATTTTTAAGGACAGGCAAATGGGTTCTTCTCTCCCTGAACACACCTACAGCTGTAAGTAAATTTTCTTAGTATAACTCTTGGTATGTTTTCATAAATAATTTTATTTATATAGATAAGTTATGTGCCACTTAACAGCATGGATAAGTAAACATCATAGAGTACTTAGACAAACCTTATAGGGAATAGTCTACTACTCACATAAGCTATACATAACCGAATGAAAAATATAGTTATGTGTCTAAATACATAACTAAACATAGATAAAATACAGGCAGCTATGAAGTTTTCAGCTCCATTATAACCTTATTGAACCTACATTGTATGTCTGGTCCATTATTAAGTGGTACAAACTTGTACACCAAGAAATATACCACAAATTATATGAAAAAAGTTTATAAATCTCTACTATAAATGAAGCTCTGTATTAAAATGTAAATATAAACCAAAAATATTGTAAGATATCAATATATTTTGATATAAACAACTTCATATTATATAAAACAAAGTGTTTGTTTTCAGATTTATAAAGTTTATAGGAGTCAAAAGTATTTACAAATAAAATGTTTTGTAAGATCCCCCTCTTTCAGATCTCTAACTGTACAGTCGGGAGAAAATTGCGGTATATATAAAATGATTGCTGATAGCTCGTAATGCTGTAAAATTAAAATATCTAGCAAGAAAATTCAAGGCTTCATTTCTAATGCCTATTACATTTAATATGATACTTTAGATTATACTGTATTACAAATTACTAAACATGTTGAATAATATACATTATAACAATTTATAAAGATGATAAAGATAATTTATTTTTTAAGCTAAATAGAAGTGAGTGTATACTAAATTTGTATTTAGTACATAGTATTCTGCTTAACATTGAATTATACTAATCAAGTGCACAATTCTGTAATAAATGTTGTAAGATCCAGTACTGTATACTTAAAAATTTAAATTAATTATATTTGTTTTGAATTGTATAATTAATCATTTCTTTTGAATATAAATATAATATATTTGAGGTCATGATAGTGATGTGTTAACATGTTTATTAATATGCATACTTTTC